AACATAGCACTGTACCAGCTACTAGGAAAACAATTAACTCTATCCCAGCTGAAACCAGGACACCTGTCACACAGATGCACAATCAAAATGGTCCATTCCCAAGCTCAACAAAATCTTTAGTACCTCCAAACGAGGTACACACACATGCAAATCAGACAGCAGTAGCTGAGGAAGAGCATGTACCAGAGTAGTTACAAGAAGATGCATTATGGATCTTGCTGCATTAGCTTTCTGTTTTGTTCTTGATGGAGACATTCCAAAACCAGCTCCTTGTAAGATGAGAAGTGCAGATTTGGCAGGTGGAGCAATCTGTGCCAATGCCCTCCTACCTAGACACATGCATCTTGCATTGATAGCCCTGAACAAGATAAAGCAGGATTATGCCTGCTTAGTTATTGGCCAGAACAACAAGATGCTGCAGGAAGCGATGCTGGCAACTCTGTAAATATGCCCTTCTCTCTGAGTTAGTAAGAAAAACCACATCGGTGGTACTTGCATGATTTCTTTGAGGAGGAAAGAGCTACACAGGCTTCTGAAAGCAAGTGGTTATGAAGAAATTGTACCACACTATTCTCAAAAATACAGCTGTACTCTTCCCCTCTGCAAGTCAACCATACCCTCATCAAATCTTTCTAAATGTTTTCAACCAAAAGGGGTCTGACAAGGAAGCTGTGGTCAAACAGCTTCCAATAGAGCTGGAACATCTTTGGAAGGAAAAATCAAAGATTAAAGGATCCTGGTCCATACCAGTCCAGGGACTCGATAGTTAAAAACCCCCATATATCAGCATGCTTGGGGTCACATTTTAAAAATGTAAGATTTTTGTGCAGAGACTTTCTCAGCAAACCAGAGTTATTTAGAGCTAAAAGAACAGAGGTATGACATGTTATCATGATGGCAAAAGAAACAATCCCAATCGGGTTTACTTATGTAAATGTAGCTACTTGTCACAACAAATACATTAATCTTAAACTAACACTAAATTAAGGCATCAGAAACTAATAGCAAGCACACAGACACGTATTAGCATTTATATGCACAATTCTACTAAAAAAAATAATAATCTAGTCTATTTTAATCACATGCAAGGAGAATATGAAAAGGGAATTAAACATATCCAAATCTCATTGCTTCAGCTTATTAAACTTCACTGGCATTCTAATGTGAAATATGCCTATCATATTGAGATGCTGTCCCGTGCGATGTTTTCAGAGAACAGCAATACTTCAGCTCCTACAACAGAGTGCTATCCCTCCTGATAGCACTGCAGGGAACACATCAAGATCGCATGGCCGCCTGGGAAGTGAACAGATATGACACTACACGAATCAGCTATTTCACTACAGTTATATGACTATCCACATTAGTGATCCTTGTCCAACTTTGAAGATTAAAGTACAAATAAAAAACCACTCCCAAACATGCACACACACAAAGAAATCCTTTGAAATGCTTGAATTCTTTTCTATCCACGAAGAATATCTGAATTATTTACATCCCAATGCAATACAAACCAAGCTCATAAATGATTACATTTGGAACACATACAAGGGTTCCCATCAGAGATATTTGCTAGTAGTATTTAACCTACTGGCACGAACAGGTAAATACATCATCAGTAAGTGGTGACAGGTCACGAGGGTTAATATGTTAGTCATAAATATTGGTACCAAGGTGAAGAGCTATAAAGAGAAATGTGTTCTTAATACTTAGGTGTAAAAATCTGAATCTGAAAAACACTGAAAGCGTTACACACCCTATAAAGACTACAGAATAAATTATTCAGGTGAAATAAAAGCTGAATCTGAACATGTGTTAATAAACCAAAACACAGCAGAAAGATGTGAAATGCGTAGATAAAAACATATGCAGTGAGTATGAATGGTTAAATTTCAAACAGCACTTTTTAAAAAGAAGCATTGCTCCTGTGAAGGAATAGGAATAATGCTTCAGAGCAGGTATTATGTTTTTATAAAGCTCTGTAGAGCTGTACATTCACAGGATTTCAAAAAATGCATTTATAAAATTACTGTATAAAAACTAAGCAAAGTGATAGCGGACTAATGTTCATTTCACTTTTGCAAATGCAAAACTTAAATGTTAAGGGCAGTATGGAGACCATCTGTATTGACTGAGGAGTATAATCTATGCTGTAGTAGTACATAATCACCACAGGCATGTCTTTAGCCTGACTGCACAGTTTAAAATCAAAAGGAGTCTGTCTTCTTTTGAAAGAAGACAGAAAAGAAGAAAGCAAAACAGGAAATCAAGTAACAAGAATTGACACTCCAATAGGGAAAAGCACTTCAAGGTGCTGAGACAAAAACAATCATATGACTTTAACCAGAAAGCACCTAACTGATTTATATTCACCCATACAATAGTTACTTTGTTAGACCTCTGAGTCTAAAGTCCAAACATCTAGAAAGAAATGTAAAAACCATTGCTTTCAAGAGTGTATCCATATGGCCTGTATAGATGCATTTGGGAGAAGCTGCCAGGAACAGCTCATCTGGGAGCAGGATGACACAGAAAGGCTCTGCTCTGCTTTTTCTTAAGCACTCTGAAGAAGATAAACCTCTTTGGTTAACTTTAGGAGCATTTAGAGTTCCAAAGAGAAATGTCCACAGAGTCTGTTTTTAAATCTTTCTCCTTCTACTACACAGCTTTACAAAAAGAAATACAATCAACTCCCGAAAGGAAGAAACGCAGTTATTAAACATCCATCAGGTTTTTTGAAGTAATCCTACTTACAGTACAAAGGAGTCTGCCCAACTCCTTGTGTACAACTGGAAAAGTTTGCTGGATTCAACCCATAAAAATGTGAAAGCTGAGATCTGTCATTTCTGAGAATGAATGCAAGGCAGCAGCTTGGCTTGTCATTGTAGCAAATGCAGTTAGGTAAAACAATCTGAGAAAGAGACAGAGAAGGAAGTACCCATATTAAATCACAGCTCTAAGAAGGCTGTGTTTATGTCTTTAGAGAGTCTAAATTTAGACTGCAGTGAGCATGCCCCTCAGCATTAAGAACTGTGTAAAGGGAATAAATGTAAATAGTGAAAAACAAAGTAAACCATTCTCTCAATTTTCTCCCATTCCTTTCTCGCTCCATTTTAATAAAGGCAAAGCAAAAATTTACATATGACCCAGGACACCAATGCTCAGCAGGAGTCAAATGGAGATCTTATTGTATTCATCTACATATAAATGAGAGACTGCTGATTCTACTATGGCTTGAAAGAACAGAATATTTGCAAGCAGAAGTATAACAGATGCTTGTTAAAACAAAGATTGGGCATCTTTCATGACAGTAAGCATAGAAGGAATTTAGAGATGGGAATGAAAAGAAAGTCATAATACCGAGGGATCTTTCTTCCTTAGGAGCCTTCAGCATTTTTATTTTTAAGATTTTTACATGTCATAGCAATGCAGTAGCTTTCACACTGTGCATTCTTGAATAACACTGTACACCTGTCTTCGTATTTGCAAATGTACAACAGGTTACCAAAGCCCATCAATTCTGAACCACCGTCAGCCAGGAACATAGACAGAGGACATATTAGTACCCACCCACCTTGAAACCTGAATGAACTCCAGATCCAAAAAGGACACAGCAACTCACAGTTCCTAATCCAGAAACAAAAGTATGCAAGCCACTCTTTTTGCTCAGCTATATTGGTCTTAAGCAGCTGTACTTAAACTTCTTTTGAAGTGCATTCTGCATCCTTTAAAATAATCAAATGTGAAACAGCTCATGTCTTTCCAAAATCATAATTTTTAAGCAAGTCAGTCAAGGCTATGAAACATGTATAACTGAACAGGAAAATCTATGTTGATTCACTCACTATCTTCCTTAGACCTACACTTGCACCTTTTTAATGAATTATTGTGAGATCAGTTTTCCATGTGGGGAAGTACTTGTTTCATTTGAGTTTGGCAGTGTTTTCATACAAATCAGAGAACACACGACAGAAGAGAACTCAAGAAACATTCAAAAAACCAATGCCTCACTATTTTCAAATCAGTTCAATATCCAACTATTAGTAGTTACATTTAAATGATGTTTCTTGCCTTGATGATGACATTACTCAAGGCAGGGTCAGATGTCTTACTGGAGAAACACAACATCTACTGCTTCTCTTCTATCTCTGAAGTCCACCATTCTGTTAAAGGAGATACTAGATTGGATGGATGTGATTGTTATTTTACAAATCTACATGTTCTCTCTTATTTAAAATTGCCCACATTTCCAGGAAACTACTGGAACGTATAAATAAGCTGCTAACTGGCCTATAATTTCCCAGGTCCTCCATCTTACCCTCTTCATAATACATGTGTGCCTGCTTGTTTTCTGCTATTTCCAGCTTTGAAGATCAAAGAGTTTATGATTTATCACAGCTGATCCTTTACTATCCTTCCTAGGGAAAACGAGGACACAATTCCTTTAAGGAGCTGTCAACTTCCTTGAACTCTTTTCTCCCTTATATAAGTTTTAATATCTACATATTTTTACTCTGCATATGGGAACTTTAGGTCCTGTATCAGCTCATGTTCAGGAACTTAAAAAAAAAACATAGAAGGCTTTTGAAAACACTTTCAGAATATTTTTCATAATTTTCTTTTCAAATAATGCAGCTTAAATAAGTTGATTTTCCTGTTGCCAGTAATCACTTCCATTAGATATTATGCCTTGACGAGCATGTTGGACTAGATGACCTCCTGAGGTTCCCTTACAGCTTGAATTATCCTATGGTACTGTGAACTAGGAATCTATTTCAGCAAAGTCAAGCATGCCAATAAACAGTCATTTTAAAAATGAGAAACTTTTCACTTTCATTTTAGCATCTTTTACTTCTCCACTTAAATTCCTGTGCAACACAAATCAGAAACTTGCTACAAAATGAGTGGTCTTTTATAACATGTCTGGCTTAAAATTAAAACACAAACTTGATCCCAATACACTTTTGGGGAAGCAAAAAATAATGCCCTACTCCTTCAATAGTTACGTGGGTTTTTTTACAACAGAGAATAGATCTTGCCTGTAGAAATAAAAAAATCACAGTGCTAGCACACCAAGGCTTTAAAACAATTGTCAAACAATTTAGTAGGCAATAATGAAGTAACAGGGGAAGACTTTTTCTGCACAACACTTCTGAACAACCTGACACCATACTTGAAAAAATTAATTGATAGGAAGTTTTCAGACACAACTTTTCCGTTAAATTGTACAAATTAAGAACTTCAGTTTGGCTCTTCAGAGACTCCTACTCTTTTTGATGAAACTTTGTTACACAACCTTTGGAAATCCTATACACCTACCAGCTGCTAAAATCACATCGTTTTTCTGGTAAATGAAAGGCAACAGCAGCGTGGCATTGTTTCCATGAAGGCTCAAAGGCTCTAAGGCTGGAATTAATATGGTTCTTTGGAAAAACAGAAAAGAAAAAAATTTTACAAAACTTAAAAAAAGAGGCAAAATGAACTTACAGTGTTGGCAAGTTCTAAGTAGCTTCCTCCAACAGAGCTGCTAAAATTTGAGGCCTGAACTAGAAGTCTTTGCAGAGCAGCCTGTTGAGTCACATTGCTTCCACCATACTCCATCACCTTTTGTAGCGTAAAATGACTCTGAAGGTCTGGACTCTGAAGGTCTCTTGCTCCTGAATCATACTCCCAGCTTTCTCTGGCTCCTGATAAGGCACCTAAAATGCAGAAATAGAAAAATATTCTAGTATGGACTGTGTGTAAAGAACACATAGAATCACAGAATATCTCAAGTTGGAAGAGACCCATAAGGATCATCGAGTCCAACTCCCTGCTCCCTGCAGGACTACCTAAAACTAAACCATATGACTAAGAGCATCATCCAGACGCTCCTTGCACTCGGACAGGCTCAGTACAGTGACCACCTCCCTGGGGAGCCTGTTCCAGTGACAGACCACCCTCTCAGTGAAGAACCTTTTCCTAATGACCAATCTGAATTCCCCTGATGCAGCTTCATTCCATCTCCTCGTGTCCTATCGCTGGTCACCAGAGAGGGGAGATCAGCATCTCCCCCTCCGCTGCCCCCGTTGAGGACGTTGTAGACTGCGAGGAGGTCACCCCTCAGGCTTCTCTTCTGCAGGCTGAACAAGCCAGATGCCCTCAGCCGCTCCTCCTGTCTTGCCCTCGAGGCCTTTCTCCATCTTGGTCGCCCTCCTCTGGACACTGATATCTTAATGTCCTTCTGATATTGCGGTGCCCCAAACTGCACATGGGACTCGAGGTGGGGCCGCCCCAGTGCAGCGTAGAGTGGGACAATCACCCCCCTCGACCAGCTGGCTGGGCTGTGCTTGATGCACCCCAGGACAGGGTTGGCCCTTTTGCCTGCCAGGGCGCACTGTTGACACATGAATAAGCTTGCTTGTCTTTCCAGAAAGAAAAAAAGCAAACAGGTCCACCACCATTACTCCTCATCTTGCACATGCTGACAATGCCAGAAAAAAAAAGTAGTAACATTTTCAATGCACAGATGATTTACTAAATTACAAGATCCAGAAGGAAAAATAAAAGCATTTGCATGCATTATTCGGTATAGAGTAAAACCAGCATAATTTACAATAGCTAAGGACCACTGAATAAGCGTCATTTATTGTGTTCAGATTGAAAAGCAGCACTGATCAGAGAACAAAAGAGGAAAACCATAATTCAACTCTTTTTATTTATTGAATACCAACACAATAAGTGAATCTTTTAGCAGTATAGTTCATCACTTTTTATGTCAGCACTGCCTTTCTTATTTTCTCAGGATTGCTTGTTTCAGTTCAAGTTTTAGAGACACATCAATCACAAGGTGTCTCATTACAAATCAGTGCAAGAATATGATCATGTAGCTAGTGGCAAACAATGAACACTTCAGAGAAAATTTCTGTATTGTGAAGCTGTAGGGTTGCTGTTTCTCCATATACAACCCTTCCAATTCTCTACAGCCAGGGACAGGCTTAAACCCTAAAACAAATTTAACAAAATGTTCTTATTTTATCAGTAACTACTTCATCCCTGGGCACTTCTGCTTCCCATACAACTGTCCCACTCCTTTTAAAATATTGTTATGTTTTAGGCTCAACAATTTCCTATGGCAAAACATTCCACGGTAGACATTAGATTATTTAATAACCCTGGGCAGCACTGTAAAATTTCATATGTAGCATAATGAAGATTAAAAACAATTAAGTGACTTGTCCAAGCACACATTCTAAGTTAATAGAAAAGTCAGAACAGAATCCAGAGCTACAGACCAGAGCAAAACTCTAAATCCACCATGCAATCATCAAACTGTAAGTAATTGTCTGTAATGCCGTCGTATTAGTATTTTCCTTTTTATGAACTAGTTCTCTCTCTCAAATATTCATTACCATTCTAAGTGGGCATTTACTAATCAGTGGTTATTACTTATTCAGTACAATGCCAGGGAGAAACAATAAACTATGTAATGAACTATTAGGAGAATGCCTCCCCCTTGCCAAGAAAGTTGAAGCTGCAAAAGTGAAAATAGAAAACCAGCCAGAAGGGAAGCAAGACAGCAACTAAACTGTAGGTTTAGGTCAACACCTTAACACCCTGTAAAGCAGTTATGCATGATAAACCAACTTAGGAAACTCAGAGATAGTTTCCCTGTCTTACCGTAATGACAATATGCCAGTCTTTAAACATGTAAGTAGAAAATAACACAAGACAAAAAAAGAATTACATTTTATACTAATATAATTAACATGATTCATTACCACAGGTAATGATTAAAGATTAATTCAATTACTTTTACACCAAGAGCATGCACCACCATACTTAATCTAGCTACATGCTACAAGCTCTCCAACAGAGCTGAACTAGGACACTGCTAGCAGCAGTATTTTACATTGTGCGCAGTGTACTGCGATGACTGACTATGCACAGTGTTAGGTATCTCTGCCCTTTTGTGGCTACAGTACACCGTACAGCAAAAAAAAAAAAAAAAAAAAAGGCAGCAGCCCACAGAGCTGAGCAGCAGAAATGTCTCAGGAGCCTGAGGGAGACAGGGGATCAGTTCTGCTATCTCCTGGGCTTGAAAAGAGTGTGGGGAACAACTCTATCAGCACAAGCACAGCCACAGAATTAGGAGAGCTGGTTATGTCAGATTGATACTCCTCCTCTGTAAAACAGAGCTAAATGTAGCACATATTTCAACAGAGCACGTGCACTAGATTTCTACTACTCGAACGACATTGTTCTGCAGAAGAGCTTTCACATTCATTCAATTAACAGTAGCTTTGCTGAAGACCCAAGTGGCCTTCATAGATTGCACCATCTGCTATCAGATTGGAAGCACTTGGAACATTCAGCTGGCTCAGAAGTCACCTGTCAGTTACAGATGGATCCAAGAGAGATTGATTTTTTATGACTGTGTTGTGACTGTATTTTTAACCCAAGTTTTCTTAAAAGTTCAACTCTGTACTCCTAATTTAAAACATACTAAAAATGCAAGGAGAGATGACTGTTACAAAGGAAGGCATTTCCAGTATTTTACTTTGGGCTTAACCCCAATCTCTAAATTTGCCCACTATTTTCCCAACAGATTCAAAAACTCTGGCTGTTAAGATGCTGTCCTCGTGGGTCATGCACCTTTCAAGTCTCACCTCTGCAGGGAAACTGTGGAGGTGTCAAAACTGAGATTTCAGTTGTAACTGAAAATTCAGTCAGGAATTGACATACAACTCTTCTATGTTGCTGTAATTAACACACAACTCTTGCCCTTACAGCAGTAATCAGAAAGAAGGAATCATTAGGTATGATGGCACACCAAAAGCTCATAGCTGACCTGGTAACTAGGAATCTGTAGTTCCCAAATCTGTGTTTAAGAATTAGTCTTTACAGAACCACACACATCCCATAGTAGTTTTCCCTGTTGCTCTACACCTCCTTACAATCATACGAAACATGAAATTTCTGTATTAAATGAAAGAAAATTATTATCATGAAAATTCCCAGGTAAAAAGCATGCTGGAAAATTGATGACTAAGCAGAAGAAAAAAAATTAGTTACACAATATTTATATCAGCCAAGTACTATTAAAGCATGTAATTGTTTCCAAATTATATAAGTAACATTCCAATTCCAGAGTAAGACAAATGAACCAATCCTTTTTGGAATTAATAGATACATGAGACTTCTCTAAAAGTATAAAAGCTTCTGATTCTAGACATGCTTCTACACAAGTATTCCTTTAATTGCCTTCCTAGCACTACTACCACTTGCCTGTCTTAACCTGTAATTAATTTTGGGTGAAACTCATGTTATAGCAAACATTCAGTACCTTTTTGTTTCTAGCCTTTTGCAGAGTAGAGGAGTGGAGCATCTGAGTGTACGTGGATCCATTAGTACTAGTCAGGTCAATAACAGCAGGGCAACCTAGATCTTGTCTGAAACATTTATTTGAAGATTTTGTCTTCTGCAGGTTTTCCTGTTCATTTAGTTAGCCCCAGCTCTTACTTATTTCCTTACAATTTACAATTATTTAACCTTTGACATATGATGTCACATTTAAGAAAAACAAAGGACAGATTAATTTGATGACACATACACATACAAGGTTCCATAATCACAGATAAAATTTCAGTTGGTGAATTGTACCAAAGCTGTTTAAAGGAACTTTATAATCAATTCCCTTGACAAATATCGTTATGATAGGACACCTTGCCCATCTGCATTGAGACTTCTTGATAGCTTAATCTTCCTTTATCACCTGCAAAGCTCTCAGTAACAGCACAGAGGTCTGTGTTCTGGTACTGGTGTCACCCTACCATGCTGACCTGAAAGAAAATAGCATTTCACCTTCTCTACTAGCAGTTAATCTTCTGCCTAGAAGGCTTGTATTCTGCAACAGAGAAGCAGGTGCCTACCATAACTGCAATTCTACCCATACAGCCAGGCTTTTTGGTTTGGTAAAGGTTAACTTTACCAGGCTATGCTGATGGACCAAGCATTATGTGTTTTCATCTTTGCTCATAGAGTAGGAAAGATAACCCATCAAGATGGCAGGGTACTGAAGATGTATTAGTTGCTGAAAGGATCTAGGATATCAGGAAAAGTGAGGTACTGTAAGATTAGCCCTGCATCAGCTTCTCAAATGAGTCCGGCTTAAGAATGGCAGACATGAAGACAGCTGACAATGTAATACACTATCAGCACAACCAGCCTCTAGGTCACATAGCTACACCTCACACAATGAGGAGAGTCTTAACAGCAGAGACCTGAAGTCTGATCACTGTTTTCCATAAGGCAACAGTGACATTTAGCTACTTAAACTTATTTGAGGAAATCCCGATGTTTAACACAGAATATGATTTATATGTGCACTGGGCACAGCTCACAGCTTCTGGGAGAAATTTTGTTCTAGAATAGGGTGATTTTACTGCTGAGTGGGCAGTGTCAAGTCCTCTCAGTTCAGTGTTAGCCTCTGGTCTCAAAACCTGTTTCAATCAGCCATGATTTTGTAATCAGAAGTTGCATAACTACTTTAAAACATTTTCTTCATGCCTTACTACTTGTATACAACAATTCCTGCAGATACGGTCCACCTGATTCTACCATCTCATTTCACACACCAGACCACCCAATAGGCATAAACAGGTTATAGATTTAGGCAATCAGTGACTTTGCAGTTTCCTCAGGCGAGCCAGACAGTTCC